GGATAAATATTAAAATGAGATGAAATACAATTTAATTTTCTTTGTGCCCGGAACGGCCCTTGAACCAAGATATAAATTAGAGACTAATATCTTTTAAGTTCTTTTCATTCGTAAAAATATCTTCCAAAAAGATTTGTCTATTCATGCAAGTTTAATTTTTATATCTGTCACCTTACAGTAATACATTAAACCATCCACTTGCACCAATTTGCTGCACTTTATCTGGTTTTGGATATCGTCTGTAGGAGTATATAGTAAATGATATCGTGCACTTGAAAAATATTTGGCTACAAATCTATTCAGTATTTTAAGTTGTTGGATACATTTTGGGTGAATAACAACGATGGGTTTTAGACTGTAAACAACGATGTACTCATAAATTAAAACAATGTTTACAGTGAGATTTTTATGCAATTTAACTTTTACCGATTTGTATAATTTAAAGCGAATTTGATTGAATAATCAGTAGAGAAATATAATAATAGCCTTCACCACTAGACAGCCTTATTTATTGAAAACCGAAGTATGAAGGACAATGACCACACACTTGTATGTGCTATGAATACGATATTGTTAACATCTGTTGTTTATAATTAGCCTGAAAAATCTAATAAACCCACTACTAATTTTTTAAATTTTAATCAAGTATTTTATTCCCAACAAAGTTTGCCCTTCACGGTACAACTGGTTATCATGCCACGAGGAGCGAATTTGTTGACGTTATCAATACAGGTGTCAGTTTTGATGTAACGTGTAAATCCATATTACACAGATGAGTCTGTTGGTTCACATGTTGTGTTACTGAAACAATGAGTGATCAGGTGTAAGGTGTATCAGCGCAACTTCGTACTTAGTGTCTCTTTGTCTTTGGTCGTGAAGCAGTAAGTATAAGAGGTATCGTCAAATTGGCTAACAAGTAAACATTTTGTGTAATTTGATCAACTATCTTAGAAAATTAGAATTTGATTGGAAGGGATTATATTAGCATATTACACTGATTATGTAAGCTACAAATTAATTAACAAATATTTTTCTAGCACAATTATTTTTATCAAGTAATTTTTTGAGTAGCATTGTACATGTTGATCATACTATACTATGATTTAAGATTTCTCATAGCTTAACTTGATATTTTCATGCCTATACAGTAAACTTTTGCAAAATGGTAAATATTTACAAAAGATGTTACAATGGCGATCTATTTCGACTGGTCCCAAGAATGCAATGGGAATTTTTTTAAATAACTATGAATGTAAAACAATGTTATGTTAAGACAAAGATTGTTATTTTCATTTTTGTTACTTTAGAGACCAATCAAGAATTTACTTCTAAGTTCTAACACCTCCACCTAGAAACTTTGTATTTCAATGACATGCATTACTTTTTTTCTGGGTTCATGATCTACCTCAGTCGGTGAAGTAGTGTTTGAGTTCATCCAAAACACACGGATAGACATACACTAGGTGGAAATCTCCCTTGTTCTATAATATTACTACAGTAGTACTTTACTTATGCTTTACAAGAGGGTATGACATCATTGAGAAGAGGTTAATACTTTAAAGTCACTTTAAAAAAATATAGTGTCATTACTAATTACAAAACAAAGTTTTTACAATCTACGTTACTGCAACTCCAGAGGCGTAATAAACATACTTCATACAAGATAGTTATTATTTTGGATCTACTGCTCTAAAGTGCAAAATTGGTAGTATTAAACGTAAAAAAATCAAATGTAAACATTGCAGTTTTCTTCTCGTTTTGAGACCAATCAATATTTAATTCTCAAAGCTCCTTCTCAAACTGTTGAAAGCCCAAGGTCTGTGCATACAGTAAAGAGGTTTAACCTCAACATATAGGTTTTCACTTATCTTTGTGACAAATTTCAGTTTAAAATTGGTCGAATGTTTTTTTTAGGAAAAACACTTAATTTTCTAATATCCCAGTAGAGAAATATCAAGTAAAATGGAAAAACTAGAAAAATGACGGTCACACTCATAATGCATCGAGGAGTATAAAAAGGTGTAAGCTGGCTATTGAGATGCTTCAAGGAGACATAAGCTGCTCTCCTCCTGCTCGGCTCGTTAAGTATTCTTTGTGTTTTAATGTCTCAGCGGCGTCGGGTGAATTTTTACCCTTTGGTTCCACGTTTGTGTGAGATCAATGATCAAAGGTTTTTTTTGTCAAACTTAGTTTTTGTGAAGTATAATTTTTATAAATCTAGAATAGTTACAAGCTAGACACCTTAGTTGTGTGATGGTGCAAACATAGTTAATACTCACCAATGTCTTGTTTGGATCTTTTTGTAAGTATAATTTATAATTTTTGGAAATTTAATAGGCCTCATTGTTTTGCTGTTCTAAAATGGGTTACTACTATGTTCACTTAATTAACATAACATACAAATTAATGAGATAAGAACTGTTACGTTTCTTTAAATAAACGTCTTAAACAAGATAGTATCTTAAGCCATTACCATAGTTCTCATGGTAAAACATAGCCCCGGGACTGATTAAAATTTTTGTTTTGAACCTGAACAAACCCCCTAGAGGCCAAAAACCCCGTTCGTTCAAATTAATAAACACTAATATAAATAAAACCAGTATGATCGGACCATGAAAACAGGGTTTTATGTGATAAAAATTGGTTGTTCACATTTTTGACCCTCAAAACATAGAATTTCCCATTTTACTTCTCGACAATTTTGTAGAGCTTAAAAAAACAAATAATTTAGTATCTTGAAGTGTTGTCGTATGCCTAATAGTTACAGAGAAAATTTTAAAAACTTTTAATTTTTTAATTGCATGTTATTTTTATGTAGAATATAAATAAATAAACGGTTGTAATTTACTTGTTTTTGTATAAATTTTAATTTAATACGGCAATTTTATTAATTTCATACTTATTAACATAATTAATAATTTTAATAATTAATTAATTAATTAATTAATTAATTAATTAATAATTAATAATTAATAATTAATTAATAATAATTAATAATTTCATACCATTATTAACATTTCACTTAAAACACACTTCATTTCCCTCCCTGGAGCACACCTTTGTACTCGTGAAATCTAATGTTATTTAAGCTTAAATAGAAAATAAATCAGAAATTTTTATGGATATGTTTTAGTAAAAATTCAGTCAGGGAATTGGAAATTCACTTAGGCAGGTTTGGTGCGGCAGGGTAATTATCCATGTTATGGTACTGTCACCCAATGCTTCAAAGCTTTAGGTTAACTTATTGAGAAACTAAATCGGATGGTGTCTCATACGAAAATTTTTCTGTATTAGAGAACTCTTTTCTCTCTCTCTCTCTCTCTACAAAAATCCATACAAGAATTTTTTTAGTTGATCAACAAAGCACCAATCTCAATCATCCCTCCGCCTGCCAACCAAACACCCACATTGTCAATTGCATTTACATAAATTGAATTGGCTCAAACCTTGTAACAAGTTGTAACTTTTTCAATTTTTTTTACTTAAAATGTTATTTTCCATTATTATAAAGAGCAAATCAATGGAGATAATTGTTTGACTTGAAGTGATTTTCACCTAAACACAAATTCTTGAATGGAGTAACATGCTGATGGAATTAAAAACCTTAATGATTTTAAAACCTCAGATTTTCTCTCATTTTAAAGTTAGGGTTCAGTACAGTCTGTTCAAATATCACTTGTATGAAACTGCAGACAAAACCACAGTTTGTAATCTACTCCTAAAATAAGACTGGTACCTTTAGTCGATATCTCAAATGTAACCAATATGAGTCACATACCTGATACATTATTATGGAATGATAAGTCTACTTGCACTAATTAACTCGATAGTAACGTAAAACGTTTTGTAAATATTTAGTGACCCAGAAATTCAAACAACACAATACTTTTATTACACGTGTAACACACGTATCCACGCCACAATGGTGTTGTGCCCTAGTTGGACTACCATTATACGAGGTGGGTTTAAACTATCTGGACTTGTTCCAAAACTCTTAAGTGATGTTAAACTCGTAACCTTCCGCTATATGAGATCGGACTATCATGATTATGCTGTCAATTTTTATTAGTGTAAGATTATATTTAGTTTAGTTCAGGTTGTCAATGGTTTATTGTGACTGTGAGTGTGGATGTAATTATGTATGGTACCTAATACTAATAATCACTGAAGAAGGGTTATCAGTCTATCCAAGTGGCAACATTTATCTTTTCATATGAATGTTAAAGAGTTGGCTAGTTTTTTTTATTACAATCAGCTGTTTTCATTGTTGTTTATTGCTATTATTGTAAACATTGCATGCAACTTCATGGAAGAAACCAAATTTTCTATTCTTCACTTGTATTTTGTTACTGGTCCTGATTTTGCACCATTCTATATACAGCATTCTATGTAATGCATATCCATGTTTACATGAATATTACAAAAACATATTTCCTCTGGGAGAGAGTTCTAAAATTGTACATGATATACAGTTTGATTTAAGTTTGATGAATCAGTTAATAAAGTATACTTTAAAGAACTAAATATCCTAACTGTGAATGGGTTATATGTATTGCAGACTAGGGATGAGCATCGATAGTCGATGTTTGCGAAACATTAATGTTCTATGTTTTTTACATCGATGGTAGATTACCGATGTTTTTGTTATATCAATGTTTCCCTGTACTGCTGCCTCAAGACGCAGGTCAAGTTGTTTATAGCGCCTCAACCTTTACCTTTTAGCTAACGTTCAGAGAGAAGGAAGTTTGGTTGTGTTTTTTTTTTCTTTTATTGTTATGTTTGTACTGTTCAATTATGCCATAGATAATTCTTGCTCTTCTAACTAAGTGCTTAAACGTCACAAAAAAAATTGAAAACTATGACAGATGAGACTAAAGAAATAGAATTAAAATTTGTTGGCCAACTTTGCATTCCCGTTATTTCTAGTTGTTTGAAGATGACACTCAGTCTATGTGAAATGTTCTAAATCTTCTGACATATGATCTGTTGATGTATTCCAGATGTCAGAGCATCACCACATGGACCATGAGCACCTGGGACATGCAGAGCATGCCAGTGAGGACCACATGCACAGCGTGGCTGAGATTGACCCCTCCAGCATAGATCACTCACAGCATACGGACCACAGCATGCATGCTGGCATGAACATGGCCCAGCACTCCATGAGCCACATGATGATGGTACTGTATGACGTTCATTACACAAGTACATTGTACAACCAATAGTGACAGTATTCCTAACCTAGTAATCAGAGTAATTACAGACTAAAAACCTAGACTAGACATGAGCAGCAAATAAATTAACTAATCAACCTAATCTACGAAACACAATTTCAATGAAGTAAGGAGTAGAGATAATTTTTTATTTTAATTTGTCAATGGTGTTTTTAAAACAATTTGGAAGCAAATGTGGAACCTACTTCCGACACAGGCGGGCTTTTTGCTTGAAAAAAATGTAACTGTTTTCTCCTAGAGCCATATTGTATTCCTCCCATATTGTATCAGGGCTGAGGATAATCTTTTTCCTTGGCAATGAGAGACCAATAGTATTTTTAGGTTACAAAAAAGGGGATGTTATGGCTATTGAATGCCTTGTGACAGTGAAATATGAATTAAATTGTTTTGTTAAACACATTTAATGTTCTTGTGGCATGAATTTGTCTATTTTATAATCCACTTGAAGGTATGCACTACATAGCTGAAAGGTAATGGTTACAGTTCTTGTCTAGTAATCAAACGGTTGTTGGAGAAAAGACTTTAGGTTGGTACACCATACCTCTATCATTTTAAAACAAGTAAAAAACTTTTTGACAGTATGAAACAGGTCCCAGCTGACCTAAATTATTGAGCTTTACTAGTCAAAGAAACAGCTGTTCATTACACAAGGCAGTTCGTAAGTTATAAGAGTGATACAATATAAATTTGACTTTCCCGTCAAAAACATAATGAGAGTATTAAGTGAGTTTTACTTTTTCAAAAACTAAATTTAATAGTGGTGTAGCAGAATTCCATAAATACGACTTAACACAAATTACAAAACGCCCTAAATACATATTGCAAAAGTTTTGTCTATAACATTATCAATATCCACCTTTACCTGAAAACACAGGCTCAAAGATGTTTGTATTTCAGACCTGTAATTTAATTTGGTACAATGAATGGAAATTGAATTACAGCCTGAGCAAATAATTCCATCATAAAGACTTTATTGCTCTGAGTTAAACCAAAGCAAAGTGTTTCCAAACAATATTTATTCATCGTTTATATTTGTTCAAATAATTTATCAATTGATTTTTTTACTTTGTCCTACTACATTATATTGTTATATACATACAGTATTCTACTAACATACTGTAGTTCCATCTTTTTAGGTTAAAAATAACAAATACACTAATCGTGATTCAACATGAATAACTTTAAACAAGCATAATCCAATTAAAATACTCTTGATGGATACAAAGATGTAAAGCACATTAGGAACTAAATTTCAATATGGGAAAATGAAAAAGGATGACTTTAAGCGGGCCTGAGAAAGGGAGACGTTTTAAGCTGAGTTGTCTGCATCAAGCTAATCTCTTAACATCAATAAAGGTTTCTACCAAATTTAAGGCAAGTCAAATAAAAAAAACCTTTTCACTATAACAAGGTTTAAGTGTAAAGTCCCAATATTATATTTACTGTCTTTAATACGCTTTTTCATTAAATTCTATAATAACATCAAATTATAGAAAATGTGCCTTTTTTATACTTTTTTTTATGAAATGGCGACCATACAAAGTCATTATATTGAGACTTTTTGTTTCATTAAGATTGCTTTAAAGACATTTTAAATTGTTGTTAGTTCAAATATTTTAAATAAAATACATATAAGATTGGTACAGTTACTTAACTTGTTTGGTTGATAAATCATGCAAAATAAAAAAAAAAACTTCTCATCTATTTAAGTATGTACCAGTAAAGTTATTGTTAAAAGTCTAGGATACATAGAGAAAAGTTTTGACAAAGATACAATAATGCTTGACCTTGATTACTTTGCTGTTCGCAACTTGGCAAATACCATTCAGCATTGAAGAATCTCTTTTTGGGCCATGTTTTATAGCACTAGGTTCTTTGCCAAATTAAGTTAGTCTGTTCAGTACAACTAGTGCTGCAAATGGTTTGTAAAATATTATCTCTGTACATATTTTCTTTGCGTCCAATAGATTTCTTGATCATAGTCCAATAAAATGTTTACAGACCATTTTCATCAGCAAGAGACTTATGCAAAAGGCTTTGCTGCTAAAAATAAATTTAAAAATTATGTAATGGATTAAACATTGTTTCATTTAACTTTTTCCAAATACACTCCAGGGAAAACGTGTTGAGAAATTCAGTTCATTTGGAACCATTATGGTAGTTACTATTTATATAGTCGTTTATAGATTCAACCTTTAGAAATTAAATATGTTTGACAAGGTTATATTTGTTTGGAAAATAACCTTAATAAAATTATTTATAGTAATTTCAAATATTCAAATAACTTGTTTATTTTACTTTTTGGGTGCATTAATGTTGTTATAAATTCTTTATATAAACTTTTAATTACAAATTACAACTTTTGAAGGAATTTGGAAATTAACAAAGCTTATTGTAGCAAACAAATTCCTGCAGTATATAACTTTACTTTTTGGGTGCATTAATGTTGTTATAAATTCTTTATATAAACTTTTAATTACAAATTACAACTTTTGAAGGAATTTGGAAATTAACAAAGCTTATTGTAGCAAACAAATTCCTGCAGTGAATGCAGTGGAGACTATCGTGCCTTATCTGCACCAGAGGCTGTTGGACATTCACTGCTTGTCAAACAGTTTCTTATCAGTAGAACTGGCTCAAGAAACCATCCACAACAGTGTTTCAACACTGTCCAATATGTCAGTATTGTATTTCACACAAATTTGATTTTAAGAATCAAGAATTTTCTCGTTGGGCATTTACTACGATGCATTTGTCATTGTCAGTTAATCATCTCTAAAACTAAATATTATGTGTGCAAAATTATCCTGGTTGGATGAATAAAAGGAAAGCTAATACCTATGTACGTTCTATCATTACTATAAAACACTAAATAATTACCTAATCATAAAATTAAACATTGAATATAAACAATGATACACTATAAACAGAGTGAAATGTGTCAAGTTAGCAGTTTATTCTAGTTAGCACTTTTAATCAAAATGTGATTAAAAGTGTATCTGTAGATATTAAAATTGATTTATCAATATAAAATTTAATTATGAAAACCCTTGCTTAACTGGAATTAAATGGAATGATACTGATTTTGTTATCCGATTTTCTATTGTTATATTTTTTTTTTGTCTAACCAGAATTCTGGTCTATTCATGTCCATCCATCACAATAAAATACTTAACAAAAACTATTGTAAACAAATTGTAATCACAATTAAAAAAAATGTCGTTGCATTCTGCCATAAACTATATTAAAACTAAATATATTTAATATTCAAGTGTGTTTTTTAGACACTTTTGAGTGACTCATTCATAAATAAATAAAACTTTTGTAATAGAACAAAAAAGAAACTTAAATACCTGATTTCCTAGAACACTGTTTTAAGTGCAATCATTACCAATCATTGTTCAAAATCGGTTTCACCAAATCCTGTTATAACCTGTGAAACAGCTGATTGTAAGCTGAAACAGCTGATTGTGTTAAAACTATTGGTCGTTGGTTTGCTCTTGTTTACTTTATATCTGCCAATCGGTTTGTAACACAAGCCCAGTTTACCCAATGCTTAACACAATGTGTCCATTGACACAATTTCAATCTTTGAATTGTGATGTTTGTATTAAATTGTATACCTCAGATAGTTAATAAAAAACAATATATTAAAGGCAATTGCAGTTATTTTTTTTTATACGAGCAAAAAGAAGTTTAATGATATGTCAGGGTTTGGAACCTAATACATAAGAATAAGAATCCTTATTGCCCTTAAACATTTTACAGCGCAATAGGGTTTGTCATTTGGTACTTAATATTAAAATGTTATTAAATATTTCACATAAAATAGTAACAAAGATAATTTAATCAAATAAGTTAAGACAAACTGGCCTGGTTCTATAATCTAGTCCACTAATGGCAGGTACATGGTGAAGCATAAGGCAAAAAATAACTAGATTAGCACACAAACCATCAATTTTACAAAAGGCAAGAAAAAATATAGCAAGGAAGGATCTACTTTTTTTTACCACTTTTGACTTGTATAAACATTAGTTTGTTGTACATAGATATGGTATGAAATGAAAGCACTTTCTCCTTAGATGTAGGTCCTTTTGTGGGTTTGTGGAGAAAAATAAATCTGTTGTAGTTTGCTTGTTCATGGATATTTTTTGATAAAATTTATTTATTTATTACTATACTATTAACAAAGTTTACCTTTCCCTTAAGCAGTACTTGTCAAATCTAATGTTGTTTAAATAGGGAATAAAAATGACATGTTCAAGGGAACATTTTAGTAAAGGTCAGACATAGGAATTCGTTTAGTCTGCTGCGGCGGAGGTATTTGGATCGAAACTGTCTAAACTGATCTTGTTACCTAAGTCAACCTTTTGTTTGGTATCATTTTGCAGTGATATCCCAATAGTAATTGACTTCTGGGTCTAGAATTGAGAGAGCATTATTATCATATATAATTATATTCATTTCATATGAATGTAAACTGCAGAATCAAAATGTATGATCAATGAGCTAATACATTATGCAACAGATGTACTAACCTGAGCAATAGGGATGCTTCCGTTATGAGAAGTTAGTAAGTGGGCTAAACCAACAGTTTAAATAGACCAACTATATTTCGTCATTATTATTTTTACTTACACTTTTCAAACTTATTCTAATTAGGATTTTTTCTTACAAACTTTATACTGAATACTGAATAGGGTTCAGCATCCCTTTTTTAGTCGTCCTAATTAACCAATTTTTACGATTGGGGTGCAATTAATCGATCATCTTGGAGCTTAAGAACTAGTTTTTTCGGCAGCATAGCGGAGGGACTAAGGTAATTTTATAGTGCTTCTTCCCCCAGTGTTTTATTTATTTCTAGAGTTTGCTTACAAAGATCCAATGATTCTGACAACTTTCCTAGCAACGGTTAGATATGAATTGTAATTTTATCAGCTGATTTG